CTATTGCCTCATATGCATAGGAAAGTTGGACATTGAATAAGGAAGACATAAGAAGATCTGGATGCATTTCAATAGTGATGTTAGCTAAAAATATTGGAAATACCAATAGCTGTCAAAAGGAAAAGCAAGTCTCTCTTGGAAGAAGTATAGCTATAGTGCTCTTTAGAGGCAAGGTGGCAATTCTATCTTGCATCCTTTGAGCATGTTGTCAAGCGAGACCTGTCTCTGGAGAAGGACACCATGCTTCATAAAGTAGAGCAGCAGTGAAAAGAGGAAGCCCCTCAAGGAGATGGACTGACGGACTGACACATTTGTTAACAGCAATGAGCTCAAGCAGAGGAATAATTGTGAAGATGGCATAGGACCAAACAGTGTTTCATTCTGTTGTGTGTGGCTCAACAATGCTGTGCGTCGTTCTTGATGTCACTCAACAACACTCTACCACCAGGTGCCATCCAGTAGATTCTGTTTCAGTGCAAGCCCAAAACGTTTATGGAAAATGGAATGAAAAGAACAGGGAATTTTTTAAGTGAACTTTGTAAAGCCCCCTTATATGTGTCCGAATACAACTGTGCCCCATAGAGTTCTCAATGGCTGACTTTTTAGAACTAGACCAGCAGGCCTTTCTTCTGAGGCTCATCTAGGAGGACTCCAGTTTCCAAGTTCGATGTGAGAATCCCAATGCATAACTGTTTGCACCACTCAGCGACCCTATCAGAGGAGGAGATTTTGACTTATTTTTTACTAACCTATTTCTGTCCCCCTGTATGTCTATATCTTTTGCTATGGGTTGGTTTTATTAAGAAGACTAAGAAAGTTAAGGGACTTTTTGGGACACCATTATTGAAATGTCATTGTTACTATCTGTTAAAGAGAGGTTACATGGCATTTGTGTTGATAGCTCAAGCCTTAGAACATACTTCCTAAGTTCCAATCCTTGCTAGGTTAGGAAATCTGTGTGTGGCAGTGAAGTGAAATTACTTGGTATGGCTCTTCTATCCATAGTCTTCCTAAATTACATCCAGTGACAGTGTTAAAACATGGAGGTAATATGTAGAGAATTCTAAATCAGGGATTGTACAGTTGCGACATTCAACATGGTATAAAGTGACCTATTTCAGAAGTCAGAATAGAGTGCCAAGACCATCAAGAAAGTGGAACCACCTGTGGAGGGAGCGTAAGTCTCTGAACAAGAGGTCAGAGCACCTAGATCATCAGACTGAGTGGGACAGTAGACTTCCCAGCCCAAAGAACAGGTTAAGCTGCATGTCTTTGGGCAAGAGACTTGGCTTGCAGAGTGGAGTACTCTTTGGGCATTTATCTAAAGGAGCTTTGTAATACTTCCCGGAGCCAGGCAGAGGCTGAGATAATGACAGCATGGTTGAGAAGAAGGATTTCAGACAAAAGGACAGTGTGTTCGATTGGTTTCTCTAGAGAAGCAAAACCAGGGACACTTGAATGTGTTTGTATAGAAAAATATATTTATGTTAAGAACTGACTTACGTAGCTGGAGAAGCAGGTAAGTCTAGTCCAGTTCAAGTCAGGCTTCTCCTGACTCATGGAAGCTGATAAATAAAAAGCAGGATGATGAAGCACAGGCAGTTGGGGCTCAGGCTGGTGGAGGCAGTGGTAAATTTATCTGAAACTAGCCAAAAGGATCCTGGGGTCTGCAGCTGATGCAACAGGAGACCTAGAAACCAGATGCAAATGCAAGCTCCAGAAATATTTGAAAGGCCAAAGAGAAAGCCACTCTGCTAGGTCTCTTGGTTATACAAATGGCCACGCTCCTAAAGAGGTGTTATCCAACTGTGACCCAGTTAATAGTTGGGCTCCACACCTAGTCTTACCTAGGAGTCACTAGTTAACATAATCCATAACCATCTCAGCCAATATGCTTATTGTTTTTAGATCTGGACTTGTACAGTTAATTTCTCTAAAAATACCCAGAACCATGAGTATTTTCTGTGATTTCTGGGTAGTCATTGCCATGACCCAATGCAGCAGAGAAGTAGAATGTTGCTGGAGGGACAGTTGAGTATTAGAGTAAGGTAGAGAAGGATGGATGGTGGGGGCAATTCTGATCTCTGCCTCATAGGCATGGTTATAGAGCAGATGTGGAGTTGGATGATCATTCCCCTTGTGTACCAGAGGTCAGATATGACCCCCCTACCATTTCCTCCTTGTGCTTCCAATTTTCATCTTTCAGTCAGAAAGTATTAGTTGTGTGAGAATTAGTTAATAGATGTAGTTAGAAGTGTCTGACATTCAGTGTATATTAATTATTATTCAATCTATATTCAATCTAATATTCAATCTATTGGGTAATCTGGCAGTGACTACCAGAAATCACAGAAAATACTCATGGTTCTGCGTATTTTTAGAGAAATTAACTTTACAAGCCCAGATCTAAAAACAATAAGTATATTGGCTGAGATGGTATTGAATAATAATTAATTGAATAAGATGAATAATTATTATTCAATCTATACAAGACACAATACATTTATTGTTGGAGTATAATTTAAAGAGATTGTTTCCAAATATATCTTTTAAATCAAAATGGGAAAAAAAACTAGCTGTAGTAGAATTTCAACTATTTAAAAGTTTAAACACCATGAAAAGTTTTAACTTGATTGACCTAATAGAAAGATAAGAGTGAATTCTTTTTACACTTGGGTTTTGAAAGATTAAAGTCAATAAAAATGCCGATTTGCCTACCATGTACATCTCTAAGAAAGTCAAGAACAAAAGGAAATATAAGCCACCGCAGCAACCCCAATGAAGTCCTTGCCATTCTGTTGGGATCCCCCAAACAAAGCCATTTGAAAGGAGGCAACTTAAAATAACCAGAAATGCTTTCGTTCATGCCTGCTTTTCTCTATTGAAGAACAAGGCAATGTGTATTTCATGCTAAAATCAGTTTCTCTGTAGGGGAACAGTGAAAGAATCTCTTTGACAATGTCTATGAAAACCTGTTTTAAGTGAAATCTCTTTAGAGTGATTCAGTCAAGGAGTGCTGTCGTATGCTTTTTTACTAATTGTAAAAAAATTGCTTTTAATGTTAAAAAGTTCTATTGAATGTTACAGTCAAAATTCCTTAGTTCATATATTTCTCCCCTATTCCTTGTAGTCTTCTCTATTGTTGCAATAAACAGTAGGGCTACATTTATTACATTGCAATTATTAAATAGCTTAAATCTCAATAGCTATTTTTGTAATGATAGAATTAAATAGAATAAATAGTATATTATATTTTTAAAAATCCACATAGACATTTTAAAGTATTTTTGCATAAATATATATTTCTAGAAATGACATTTATTGAATGTTGCTCTATTTGTAATATTCAATTAGTACATTCCATGAAAAATTAAGGGATTTCTACCTACTTACCTACCTACCTACCATCTAATTTCTCCCTATCCATCCATTATCTATCGATCTATCGATCTATCTATCTATTATCTATCTATCTATCTATCTATCTATCTATCTATCTATCTATCTATCTATCTATCTATCTATCTATCTATCATCGATCATCTATCTATCTATGCCTGAATTTCACATTGAACTATTACCCACAGGGTTGGCAGTTAGAGCCCCGGTCACTCTACGGAAGAAAACGACATGCTCTGCTCCTGTAAAGGCTTTGAGTCTTGGGACTCACAGAGGGAGCTATCCTCTGCCCTATGGGGTCAATATGAATCTGAATCAACTTATGACAGTTTTTTGGGGGGAGGCTGTGTATGTACACACACACATGCATATTTCATTGCCCACGCTTTAAACATGATATCAGGAGAAATCAGTCCTTGGAAATGTACATCATGCTTGGTCAAGTGGAGGGGCATTGACATATGATTGCTAACGTCATATATATGAATCTAGCCCTTCATGAAGTTCCTCATATGGCCTCTTTTGTTTTAATTGGTTACATATGTTTTGAAAAAGTTAAATGCTCAATCAAGAATACCATTTCCCATGATCTCCATTTTATTCTACTCTGATCTTCTTTGCTGCCTAATGGACTTGAGATTGCTGGGGGGGAAGATACCCATGGGTAATAAACTTCCAACCCTGTGGGTAATAGATCAGTACTTGTGCCTGCACTTAAGAATTTCACAAAAGAAGATATGCTAAGGTTTAGATTGATGGGTCTGTATGAGTCTGACCCAAGGGTCTGGTGCGTCTGTATTGATGGGTCTGTTTCTTTTCTTTTTAAATTGGGAGCATTTGTTTATGCAGAATACAGCAATGACAGAGGGGAGCAGCAAAGTACTCATGTATCTTGCTTGTAACCTTATTCATTGTTAAGTAGGCAGATGGTGGAAAATTATGATTTTTTAAATATGTTTCTCTATAGAGAATTAAAACTGGTTATAAAACTGAATTATTATATAAATCTCATTTTTACTTTATATACTGCATATTATCTAAAAGTAGAAGCTACTAAAATAATTAAAGTATTCTCCAACTACTTATCAAATGCTTGTCTATATGGAGTTTACCATGGTTTATAAAAAGATTCCAGAAAATGCTGGGAAATATAAAGGAAAAATACTGGCTTAAAGCTTGTAAAGGAGTGAATGACAAAATCTAAACATGGATACAAACCCCTACTATTTAAAACTCAAAGTTATCCTTAGAAAATTATTTATGAATAGTTATAAATAAACGACATGAAATATTTCAATCAAATATGGTTATGTTTCATAGTTCAGAAGACGTCCTCAGTAAGTGAAATGGAACTGGGTGACTCATATTTCACTAGCTTGAGTCTAGCTTAGTGTCTGGGAAGTTCCATACAGACATATCATTTTCATTTCTAATCTGTACATTCCACCAAAGTAATGATACCAGTAATATAAACGGAGGTTCAATTTTTGCAGTGGCAGTGTGGGGTAATAATTAAAAAATTCCATTACTAATTGCCATTGTATTACAGAGGCATATATTACTCTTCTGAACATATTCTTTCATCTTTCTTTTATTTATAGGATTTGAAAATGATCTTTAGAAAATTGGATCATGGACTGCTTGGGCTTTGAAAGTGTGCAGTGGAATTTTAGTCAGATGAGGTAAATATTGAACTCCATTTAACTCAATATTTATGATGAATATGAAATACCATTTGTGGTCATTTTTTCTTGTGCCAAAATGCTGTTAATTCTATTTTTATTGAACACTTTAGTTAATTAAAGAGTTGCTTTGAACACTGCCTGGTCCTACCCCATATTCACAAATGTTGTGTTTGAGCTCTTGTTGAGTAACTGTGACCATCCACTTTTTGACAGTCTTCCTCCTTTTGCTGTCTCTCTATCATGTATGATGCCCTTCTCCAGGGACGGGTGTTTTCCAGTAACTAGTCCAGAAGACATGAGCTAAAATCTTGCCATCTCTATCTTTCTTCTTATTTATTTATTTATTTATTTATTTTTAATCGTTTTATTAAGGGCTCATACAACTTTTATCACAATCCATCAATTGTGTAAAGCACACCCATACATTCGTTGCCCTCATCATTCTCAAACATTTGCTCTTCACTTAAGCCCCTGGCATCAGGTCCTCAAGTTTACCCCTCCCTCCCCGTTCCCTCCTCCCTCATGAGCCCTTGATAGTTTATAGTTATTTTGTCATATCTTGCCCCGCCCTACGTCCCCCATCACCTACTTTTCTGTTGTCCATCCCCCAGTTAGGAGGTCACATGGAGATCCTTGTAATAGGTTCCCCCTTTCCAACCCACTCTCTCTCTATGCTCCCAGTATCGCCACTCACACCCTGGTCTTGAAGGGATCATCAGCCCTGGATGCCCTGTGCTTCCAATTCCTATCTGTACCAGTGTACATCCTCTGGTCTATCCAGACTTGCAAAGTAGAATTCGGATCATGATAGTCGGGGGGCAGGAATGGGGGTGGCTGGGGGAGGAAGCATTCAGGAACTAGAGGAAAGTTGTATTTTTCATCTTGCTATATTGAACCCTGACTGGCTTATCTCTTCCCTGAGACTCCTCTGCAGGGGGATCTCCAGTGGCCTACAAATGGGCTTTGGGTCTCTCCTCTGCACACACACACCCTCATTCATTATGGTAAGATTTTTTGTTCTGATGATGCCTTATACCTGATCCCTTTGACACCTCATGATCGCACAGGCTGGTGTGCTTCTTTCATGTGGGCTTTGTTGCTTCTCAGCTAGATGGCCTCTTGTTTACTTTCAAGCCTTTAAGACTCCAGGAGTTATACAATTTGATAGCCGGGCACCATCAGTTCTCTTCACCACATTTGCTTATGCACTCACTTTGTCTTCAGGGATCGTATCATGGAGGTGAGCACACGATATGATTTTTCATTCTTTGATGCCTGATAACTGATCCCTTCAGCACCTCGCGATCACATTCTAAGGAACATCTTAGCTGTACTTCCTCTAAGACAGATTTAAACAAATCTTTGCCAACTGAATATTCTTTGCCAACACCAAAATTCAAACAAGTCAGTTGTGGTATAATCTTTCACATTCACTGTGTAAGTTTCACATGCATATGAGGTTAATGAAAGTACCAAGTCTTGAGTTCCAAAGACCAAAAATCAAACTAACTGCCATCGAGTCAATACTGACTCATCGTGACTCCATGACAGGTTAGCGTTGCCCTTTGTGAGTTTCTGACTCTAACTCTTTGTGGGAGTAGAAATCCCAGTATTTCTCTCTCAAAGATGCTTGTGGTTCTGAACTGATCTCTTCATATTTAGCACCCGACTCATAACCACCACACCACCAGGGCCCTCCTCAGTCCTCTGAGTGACATCCTTGCTCCTCAATACTTTAAAAACGGTCTTGTGCAGTAGATTTGCCTAAAGCAATATGTCATTTTATTTTTCACTGCTGATCTAAGTAAAATGAAATATTTCACAACTTTAATATTTTTTCTATTTATCACAATCTTCTTATTTGTACAGTTGTGAGAATTTTGTTTTGTTTACAATGAGACTTCTTTATTTTTTTTAAACATTTACCAGCATTATATCAGACAATACTTTGCTACTTTTCATAACGTTTTCAGTGGCTAATTTCTTAGAAGTGGACTGTCGCCTACTTCTTCCTAGTCTACCCTTAGTCTGGAAGCTCCAGGGAAACCTCTTCACCACTGATGACTCTGAGATATAGCTTGCACCATTATCATAATAAACAGGTTACCAGAGTATGGGAAATTGACAGTTGAGTGGAGGGAAGTTAAGCTTTAAATACTGTTCATTAAAAAGCAGGCTTTGAAATTGTGGGAAAAAAAGCAGATGGTCCATAGCTATCTAAAGGAATAGCAGGTGGAATCTTAAAGGCTTGTCTTCAAACAAGCAGCCATTTAACATGGAAGAAGCATACCAGCTAGTGTTATTCAAGATTTATAAAGGATTAAATCAAAATCTGAAGGAGGGAATGATATCAGAACTTAAATTGTGAATACCCAATTTGAAGAAGACTAGGGATGACAGTGGAAGTCCAAAATCCATTTGCAGAGTCTCTACATGGATTAAGCACCTGGTTCCTCCTCTCTGACCACAGAATAGGGATATGAGTAACATTACCATCAGACAGAAAACAGGTAAACTAGGTGATTCCAGATGTAGTTGGGTTAAAATGTGATACCTTATCATTTGATCTCCCTTTTGACCTATTTGAAAGTTGTTTTATATTTTTAAAAATGTTAAGGGAAAACACACATGGATTGAGTCTCAGGTGAATCCCCTCTGGCTATGGACCACAGACTGGCAGAACATTGCTGTCTTGTTGAGCAGGCGCCCTGGTCGAACAGTGCTTATGCACTGAGTTGCTGCGAAACACAGATTCAGCAGTTAGAAACCACCAGCTGCTCCTCAGGAGAAAGAAGAGGCTTTCTGCTCTTACAAAGAATAAGAATCTCAGAAACCCACAGGTGACATGTTACTCCTAGGGTCACCGTGAGTCAGCATTGACTCACTGGAACTGAGTTTTTTGTTTAGTACTATGTAGACTACCATGGAAAGAGGCTTGTTGCGGGATCAGTTTGGTAAAAACCAAACTCTATCATGTGATCTCTCTTTTCACCAATTTTAAATTTGTTCTAGTTTTTGTATTTCATACTTTCTATTTGATCGAGGGTTTTCTCTGGTTTATTTATTGATTGATTGATTTTGCGTGTGTGTGTATTTTCCACCTTATGAAATCCAGGATAGGTAACTCTATAGAAATAGTATAGATAATTTCTATAGTAATTAGTAATACTAATATGTAGTAATATAATATGCTATAGCATATTATCTACTACAATAATCTATAGAGATAGTATAGATAATATTATGGGTACAGGATGGGAGGTTGGGAGGAAATGGGGAGCTAGAAGCAAGGACTACCAGAAAGAAAATTTTCAAGTACTGATTGTTGTGTTAATTATATAACTCTTTTTGATACAACAACCATTAAAATGAATGCTATGTGAATTATATGTCAGTAAAGAAATTAAAAATAATTTAAGAAATCAATAAATAAAAATTGGCTTTGGCCTTACTTTCTTCTTAGTAATGACATGCAGCTCAGCACAGTGGTTTGAGCAATGTGACCAGTAGTGCTGGATTTCTCTAATCAGAAGTCTCACCATTATTTCTAGTGGAAACTGATTTAATCCTTAGCATTACTTTCTGTCCTGCTCTATTATTTATTTGTATTGCACAGTGAAAACATCTTAATAATCTATCCCAAAGTTGTTTGTTTTTGTTGTTGTTTTTAGGAATAAACGTAAATATAATAAACATCTATCATGTGGGTATTTAGTGGGTTAAGTACTGGGCTGCTCAACACAAGGATGGCAGTTCAAATCCCCCAGCTGATCTGCAGGAATAAGAGGAAGCTTTCTGGGCTTGTAAAGATTTACAAATCAGAAACCCTATGGAGTTCTTCTACTCTGACCTATAGGTTCTCTGAGTCCCAGTCCAGTCAATGACATTGAAGCATTTTTGTTGGCTTGACCAGTAGCTTAAACATTGGGCTGCTAACTGCAAGACTGGTGATTTAAACCCAAATTGCTCTGTGGGAGAAAGATAAAGCTGTCAGCTACCGTAAAGTTGTATGGTAGCGGAAACCCAAAGGGGCGTTTCCACTTTGCCCTGTCGGCTCTGCTCTAGATCAGAATTGACTCTATTGGCGTTGGTTTTTTCCCAGGGTTCCATTTTATTAATTTGTGGATTTTTTTCTTCTTCTTCTCACTTTTCTCCTTGTGAATATTATCATAGTCTCTTCAAAGACTCTCTGTCTTCTCCATTAAATACATACAGACATTCAGATATTCAAACCCTATGTAGAATCGATCTGAGTGAGTCAAAACAGACTCAAAAATACTGTTTATTTGGTTTTATCAATCTCAGTACACCATAGGTAACTCTGACTTCTGTATACCTCCCAGTTCAGATATAATAAAGGTAATTCCTCCAGGAGTCTTAGTCCAGGTTTTGTATTGATCTCAATGATTGTCGATCACATGCATTCCTTAAACTATGCAGCTTGGAAGTTCAGGAATCACCAGTTTGATTTTTTTTAAGTTCTTTTTATCAGTGCACAGCAAATAAGGGAAGAGAAAGGTAAATTTAAGAATAAACATTAAAGTGATTGCTTATGTTTTCAGTGATCCATGTTTTGCTGAAAGTTAGAGGTCTAAATACTTTTAACGAATAATTTGGTGCTTGGGAGGCAGGAGCTTATTTGATTTTTAAAAATTGTCCAGTATGTGCAAACTGGAAAAGGCATAGTAATACCCAATAAGATGGATGCATTTGAATTCAGGTATTGGTGAAGAAGATTGAATACACCATGAACTGCAAAATTAACAAACATATCTGTCATGGAAGAAGTATTGTTTCTTAGAATGTTTCTTAGAATCCGGGATCAGAAGACTTTGTCTCACTTGCTTTACACATGTTATCAGGAGGGAGCATTCCCTGAAAGACATCATGTTTGGAAAAGTCATCAAAAAAGAAGAAAATCCCCAACGAGAAGAACTGACACTGTCTGCAACAACGTGCTCAAACCGCAGCCAGTGTGCAGGTGGCACGGGCGGTCA